TAAACCAAGTCAAAGTTTGGCAACCTTAAAAAACCTTTATTGTGAATACCTTATAATTGTACAGCCATTTCCATTGCTTTCAGTGGGTTGCGTGTACTCGTGCATCTCTCCCCCCGAACCCCCTGCAGCATAACAAAAGGGTGTTTTACCCGTTTTCGTGCAGTGCACCACCGCTACCCTTGAACCCCCTGCAGCATAACAAAAGACGGCTTAACTCAGCCCTCCCCCCACCCACGTCCCTAATTGGCTCCTCCCCCCCCCTTAACCTGTATATAATCCCGGCTGTCTCAGAGCTGTCCACTTGACACAGTATGAATCCTTGCAGTCACAAAAGCTTCAAATCTAGAAATAATAATCTCTATTTTATAAAATGCCTTTTATATTAAAACAATTAAAAACTAAACTAGAAACTATTTTTATTTTACCAGGTAAGGCTCACTGAGCTATACAGCGACCTGTCCACAATGATAGCGCAACAAAGTGGCTTATCATGTGGAAATATAGAGCAGCTATATACTATAAACGCATGTTGTTGATTCTAAATGTGGAGGGAAACACCGGAGAACCCGGAGGAAAATCCACACGACCACGGGGAGAGAGAGGGAGAGACACATGTAAACTCCAAATATACAGCAGGCGTTAGGGTCGGGATCGAACCCACGACCTCCTGTATACCAGACGAGGAAGTTAATATCTCACCACTGTCAATGCTTCGAGAAATTGAAGTCTCAACACTGACAGATAAATTACAATGACAGATACTGTACATGTTTATGCCGTTTGGAAGCGGTAGGCCTCGTATGGCACGAGGTTGAACCAATCAGGTACAGAATATTATGCTGGAGATATCCGATGAGCTATAAAGCTCCTTTTTTACAGATGTCCAGTAAGTATGGGTCAGAACGTTACGAGAACAAACAATACAAACATACAATAGGAGTGCAAAGCATAGGAAAGGTAACCAAATCTCAATAATTTTATTTTACCAGATAAAGCCCACTGAGCTATGAGCCTCTTTTTCAGAAGCGACCTGGCCACACGCCACGGCAATGGCAGACCGCACAAGTCTGGACTGGGCACGCAGATCAGCCTTCCGTATTTGTTGAGCTAGGCTGTGACGGGTAAACAAGTACAACCATGACGATATTCAGCAAAACATGCCCACGTTTTATTTTTCTATGAATCTACAGGAACAAGACAGAGAAGAGGCACTTCCTTAAGTAACAATGAAATCCAAAGTGAACAGGTAAGAACAATTCACACTTACCAATCGTCAAACATTGCCCTGCAACGATAAAACTCTGAATTTAGCAAACTTGCGATCACAATCTATCTGCTCTGCGGCATTTTTGCTGCGAGGGAGGCGCACGGAGCGGGCAACCCGTGCCGCTGTGGCCGCCGCTGCTACCGGTGCCGCTCGCCACGACAGAGGCGGTCGGTGCCCTCGGCTCCCGGGGGTGTCTCGCTCGTCCTGCACAGATTCTCAAGCGGCTCTGTGCCCTCCCCTTGCACAGTCTCGTTCTCATATTTCTCCTGTGACACAGACAGTAGTTGTTGCATTCCTGAAGAACGCTGCATTATGGAAAATATCGTGTTGTAATAAATAATGCATAATGATAATATAGGGTAAAGCACAATCCGCGATAACATGCGAGATGCGTACGCAGGCTGAACAAGGACGGAGGCGCATCTAGAAGCATCCAGCAGCATCCCGCCTTGTGTGATGCTACGCCGAGGCAGCCATATGACTGCTTATTCCCACTCGTGCGACATCGTTCCATTCGCTCGATCGCGTTATATCAAATTCACTTTCGCGTTATAAAAATAAAATGTGTTCCCCAATACATTCATCACGTTATATAGGAGAACAGGCAGTACTTGGTTCAGGGTTGCCGGCCTGCTACTTGACGCAGTGGCATTCTGCTCCAGCTGCAGCCGTGCTGTGTCCTCTCACGGTCGCTCCGCCTGCCATGAGGGTGCCCAGTTGGAGCACTTCCCCCTGAGGTCGGCCGCCTCATAGTTCAGAGCCCTAACCGCCGATTGGTTACACTTTGGGAAGCTGCTTTAAGCCGCTATCCTACTACTACTATGTTTATTTTACTAGTTAAGGGACACTGAGCTATGTAGCTCTTTTTCAGAAGTGACCTGGCCACAAATGATAGCTCAACGAAGTGGCTTGTCATCACGTGGAAATTTATAGCAGCAGACAAATGCCCCCTCACGCATGTTTAATAAATGCGGAGGGAATAAACGGAGGACCCGGAGAAAAATCCACATGACCACGTGGAGAACATGCAAACTCAAAATATATAGCAGACGTCAGGGTCAGGATCAAAACGTCGACCTCCTGTTTACCAGGCGAGGTAGTTAACATCTGCTGGTCACTACACTCTTTTTGCGTCTTCCCTGGCATCTGCCTCCAATCGTCTCCTTTTCCCAAAGCTCTTCTAACCTTGTTCCATTCAAGAAGCGCGTTGCACTCTCTATCCACCACAACTATGGGAGTGCTCTTTGTTGCAGGATTTTTTGTCGTTTTGGGGCTTTTGGGGATCTGAGCTCAGCAATTGTTTCGTGCTATGGAGCTCCCTACACGAGGTGCACCCTCGCAGTATTCGGTTAATCTAGTAGTAGATCTACCCCGCGATAACTGAGCCCCTCGGTCGGTGCCCACGCTGGTTCACCTCCAATCTGCACGCATGCCCCACCCGTCCGCAAGCCTCCTCATTTTGACTTCATCCGCAAATCGATAAGTCCATCCTACGGATGAGGTGATGACACGTCGCCAGCCACGGATCACTTCACCGCTGGTTGAAGCCTTCCCAA